ATTGTTTGTAATTTTGTAAAACTTTTGTATATATATAATTGTTTGTAATAACTGTTATTGTAAATTGTATTGTTGTTTGTATATTAAAACATATTTGTATTAAAAAAGAAACCGTGTGTATCAATCTTGTTGACAAATATTATAAACTGAAGATATATCGGCATTTATTTAACTACTAAATATAAATTATCATTTAGCTCGGTTTCAGACCATTCGAAATTTTAATACGTAAAATTATCAAGTCTTTATTCTGGCTAATGTGGATCAAAAGTTTGCGGAGCGCGATTTTCTTTGTAGTCAAATCATGTCATACAATATTACGCTCGAAAGTTGTTGTTTTTAAACTCCATTATGGCCACAATTAAATTTCCGGTGACGCAAACCTTGTACTCGATAAGAGGCTTGAGATATCCGGTTAATTACAGAAATGTATGACTTGAAATAAAAAAAAAAGTTTGTAACTTAGACCTAGGCAACCAAAATTTCAGGTGAATAAAGATTGTATGCCTCTTTTTCTTTTAAAAATATTAATAGTTTTGGAGAAGTGCTTTCGTACAATTCTTTAGTGGTGTTGTTTAATAATTAATTTTGTATAAAGTAAAACGTTAGATCTGGATTTTCAAGATTAATTTGGTGAACTATAAGTACAATACGCCATGCAATCCCAACATGACCAATTTTGACACCAGAAAAATCGAAAACTGTCTATATTAATGCTTGAGACTCCAACAAGGTACATTTATACCAAATCCCATGCCAGTTGATTAACATAAACATGAATAATTCACTAAAACCCCAAATTGTACTTTACTCGCTGAAAAATTGAGCAAAGAAACAAAAAATCCAAAATTGTCTATATCTCTGTTTGGGACCTTTAGAAAAACGTAATCGCACATAAACTGGCCGAAATACGGCGGAGTAATTGTAAAAAATCCTCTAAAATTATGCTTTATATGTCATCTTGACCCCCTCCCCAATATAAAAATGGACAAGTCCATCAGTTTTGTGAGTTAGTGTGCGATACCTGAAGAAAAGTATCTTTGTACTAAATCCCATGTAAGTTGGTAAAAGTACGGCTGAGTAATTGACCAAAACCCCAAAAATTATGTTTTTTTGTGAACTCCGCTTCCACCCTCCCTAAAAGTCTCAAAATGGAGAATTCCAACTTTTCTTGTATGTCAGTGTGCTGGGCGTATGAAAAGTTATTTGTGTCAATTTTCATCTTGATTGCTCTAAGTATGACCGCACAGGAGCCCAAAATATATTTTTTTTTCAGTTTTACTTTTGACCCCATAAAATCCTTAAAAAAGGCCTAAATGAAAAAGGAGTTTGTGTCTATTGGACCAAGATATAAATCTATGAAGTTTCAAGTCAATTCGCCGAGAAACGAAGAATTGGCGGTCTATTGAAAAGTGTTTTGGAAGGAGGAGAAGAAAGAAAGAAGAAGAAACAATATAAAAACAGCATGTTTCTCTGCGGAGATATAAAAAAATAACGTAATTTGCAACAAGGAAATATAATGCAAATTGGAACTGCATATAGGGGATTAGGCACTTATTTGGGATGATGAGTATACTGCGATTACAGTTTCTTCGGCTATATTTCTCATGAAAACAGCAGTTGGTTTTACTAGAATCTCTTGAACGTTTGATTTTTGAACCTCTGCTAACTTCAAGCCATTGCTTTTTTTTTTTTTTCTGAACGATTCCACAAGATGTGCTCCACTTTATAACAGTGACTTTTTGGGCAGTTGCTCTCTTTTAAACTTGCTACTGTGCGAGTTTGTTCCACTTCCAAGGGGAACACTGAAGGTTCTCGTTTTGGAAAAGTGCTTTTCACCCATATTATTTAATAATTTTACCAATAATAATTCTAATTTGAAAGAGTGGTTCCTTCAGTCATATTTTAATGTGGCGACTTTGCGGGAATTTTTAAACCAAATGCATAGGCGCTACATATGTCCATGGTATTACGGCCCGCATCCGCAAGAGTATAACTACAAGAGCATAATTTTAAGTAAATTGTTTTATAAACTGCGATTTACTCTCCGTATCGGCGTCATTGTATGTTTTAATATTAACGGATGCAGTTTGTTCAGTACATATGTTATTGATTACATGTGTTTGTTACAGATTTCTTTTCTTTCTCACCAAAGGTAAAATCGAAAAAGAAAGAAAGAGGGAATCTGTGACGTAGAGGCCTAATTATTTCTTTGATTGGCCTACCCTCTGCTGTGAACTGCTATTTCGCCTATTCAAGTCTCGTCAGCACAGCTTGGACTGGCAAACCAAAGAAATACAGTTAGGCCTCTTATAACGGTGACTTGTATATAAAATTAGTTATTGATTAATAATTGTTGGTTTGGATGTAAGCAGTTTGTTTAGTATATCCAATAATGTTATAAGACATATAGCCTGTTCATGCCAACAGAAGCATTGTCTTGTTTGTTTGTTTTTGAGTTTCGCGCAAAGCTACACGAGGGCTATCTGCGCTAGCCGTCCCTAATTTAGCAGTGTAAGACTAGAGGGAAGGTAGCTAGTCATCACCACCCACCGCCAACTCTTGGGCTACTCTTTTTACCAACGAATAGTGGGATTGACCGTCACATTATAACGCCCCCACAGCTGGAAGGGCGAGCATGTTTGGTGTGACGGGGATTCGAACCCGCGACCCTCAGATTGCGATTCGAGTGCCCTAACCACCTGGCCAGTTTGTCTTGTACGTGCATTATTGTAATCAGTTTTATTGAATGCTATTAGTGATCTTTCGATGTGGTATAGCTATATATGGTAAGGAGAAGCTTTTACGTTACTTTCTTTGTATTAAAATAAACATACAAGTATACATTATGATACACTTAGCTTTAATCTTGCGTAATATTGATATTCTGTATGTGTATATATGCTTATGTGTTTATGATATTTATTTTCATATATAAATATTAAGAATAATGATAAGTTTTTATTTCATATATCTGTTAGTATTATACCGTTGTCATATTTTTGCGTCGTTGAAATTTAGCGATGATTTTCTTGTGCATTGAATGGAATACAGAATAGTCTTGAATATAAAAGCCTGTCAAAAATAACGAGAAACCAAAATCTACCAAATTTAAATACTCCAGTGTATATTTACAACTTTGCCGCCCGTAAACAGACATAAGAAAAATAAAGGGCCTTCTGGTTTCGGGAAACCAAAGCCTACTATCTTTGAAGCCTCCAGTATGTATTTACAACTTTGCCGCCCGTAAACAGACATAAGAAAAATAAAGGACCTTCTGGTTTCCGGAAACCAAAGCCTATCATGAGCAATATCTACTTTACCTGAAGAGTGTTTCTTCCCAGCATTCATTGATCACAGTTATTTTTTAATCACATCAATTGCGTAACTGCAATAGTTCTCTTAAAACCACATTTCTTGTAAATATTCGATCATCGTTCTAAACCATCTCTTCATAACAAACGGCAAATTAACTTCACTCGGTCCTAAATAAATCTTTGGTATGAAAACTCCCTCCTTGACAGGCTTTTATATAGCAGAAAAGTGACGAAATTTAGGAACTATTTACGCCTATGTTTACGATTTAATTCAACTAAAATTGGAACGGGCAATCAAAATAGGAAGTATTATAGGAAAAAAATGGAATTGGATTCGTGTAACTCGCGAAATTCGGAGAAATCGAGCGTGACCGTCTCATTAACCGACTGACACTCGGCTTTTATGATTACCATAAATATTTATACTGAATTGTAACATTTTAGTTAGAAGATTTTTCCGTGAATATAAACTAGTATTTTTCACCTTTGCATTTATCATATGAAATACGAGTATACATGTATATGTATATTTTGTGTATTACTATATATATGTAAAAGTATTCCACCATAAAGATTGTTTACATACAGCTAAAACAATGTTGAGTTGAAATTGTGGTCTTTTATGAATATATTATATAAATGACAAATTTAATAAATATAATAGGATAATGGTTTTCTTTCCCAATCAGAAATGTACATACAGAAGGGAAGACTTCCCTATTTCGTCAGCTTCTGGTGATCATAAAGATTTTTCTGAGTTTGACGGACTTCCCAGAGCTTTAATGGAGAGGGCGCTGCCAGTCTCTGATTACTACTGTAGTAACGTGTCAGACTCACCCAGAAAAGTAAGTGTAATGTTTTATTAGGAAAAACCTTTACAGCGTATTTGATACTGGAGTGTTATAAGCAATATTGTTTGTTGAAAATGGGCATGGCCAGGTGGTTAGGGCGCTCGACTCGCAATCGCGCGTTCGAATCCCCGTCATACCAAACATGCTCGCTCTTTCAGCCGTGTGGGCGTTATAATGTAACGGTCAATCCCACTATTCGTTGGTAAAGGAGTAGCCCAAGAGTTAGCAGTGGGTGGTGATGACTAACTGCTTTCCCTTTAGTCTTACACTGTTAAATTAGGGACGGCTAGCGCAAATAGCCCTTGTGTAACTTTGCGCGAAATTCAAAAGAAACAATTATTGAAAATGCGTTGTTTCTAGAGATGATTACTGTGATCAGTCATGTTGTGTAAGATTTATATACATACTCATAACTTTGTTTTCACGTATGTTATGTTAAGAAAGTCTCAGTAAATGTAATGTCATTCTTAGCAATTTCCTTCAAGCATTTTTACTAGGTTTTCTAAATGCAGAACTATAATAAAGTTGAACAGAAGAAAGGGCCTCGTGTTGATTATTGTAAGTTATGATATATATGCAAGAAGGAATTGTATAACGTGCAGTTTCACATGCTTAAAACCTTGAAACTCATTTACGGTATTTTTACACTGAAAATAAGTTCAAATATAACAAAAACGTTAATAAGTATAACTGTTGATTATACAGGACAGGGTAGCTGTTTGCATAGCGACACTTTCTATACTTTGTTTTTGGTCAAGTTTTTAAAACTTTAATTTTACCGTTATTGTATCGTCAGGTTGTAAACTGTTGAGATGATTTTATATTTTTAATTTATCGGAGTATCGCGTTTAAAAACGGGCCTTATCTCGCAGCGTTTAGTTGTGTTTTATTTTAATCTTTACTGATGTAACTATAAAATGTTTTTTTTTAGAAACACTGTACTTTAGGAGAAAACTGTATGCTGCCTATAAAATGTTTAATTTGCGTTTACAATAAAAAGCTAATACCTTTTGTCGAGAACTAAAAGGAACATTTTTAGCGGTAAAGGTTTTCTTTCATCTGTTTGCTAGCTTTCTGTTGGTAGATAGACTTTGCTGTTGCATGTATTTACTTGCCGTACGCGTTTACTTGAAGTTAGACATTGAACTATGTTCGTTACTAGGTAACGAGCAGACCAGCATTTTTCAAAAAAGTTAAAGTAATTCTCAGAATATATTTTCTCTAATCTTCCTTAAAATAGTGTGACCTGCTGCCTTTACATGAGGGTGATTAATGAATATAACATTTAATGTTTTTGTTTTCAAAGTTAGAAAAGCAGTGTGTACAGTTTAGATAGACCTATCTTAGACAAACATACGTACATGATTTATGTTGGTGAATATAACCAGTATTCGTTAATAAAAATAAAAAAACGTATCGGTTTTTGAACTTCCATTAAGCCTATGTAAAAAACAAAACTTCTAACGCATAAAAGTATATATTCGAAAGCCCTTCTGCTTGTCATTGTCTGAGGCCATTTGTGGGATCGTGGTATCCTACTTTTAGTATCTATGCGTACATTACTGTCATATATTATATGATTATAATGTTAGTACATCAGTATCATAAAATACTGCAATAAATATAAACTAACTCTTATTTGGCAGTTCGTTGTTATGCAGCATATCACACTGCTACCCATTCATGTGGTTACGTATATATGCTATGAAAATAACACTAAATTAAGATAGGCTTATTTGTAGGTCCACGTTAGTGTCCATAGATTCAATCTCTTGTCAATAGCAATGATTTTATGGCCAGTTATCATGAAAGCATGTAGTAGGTGTTAGCAGTAAGGTGTGACCATCTGTACCCTGAATGATGGGTATTCCTAGTAACCGATTCTTCGTAAGTAAACGTTTCTTCCATGGTGAACTTCCATTTATTTTGTATTTCAGCGAAATGTAGAGAGGAAATATCATTGAAATTGAAAATGTCAGAGAATAGCGGCCTAGTCCGAATGTTTTTCATACTTCCGTCCAATAAGATGACAGGAAAACGAACTCCTGATTATTATCGTTTTTATTTGTTAAATCACATCAGGCACAAAATGAAAAATTGGCTGTTGGTATACATAAACCATACAGACGTTTCTAGAATTCTCGCTAGTATCTGAAGGTATTTGATTAAATAACTGATGCAGCTTTTAAGACCTATTTAAAGTGTCATGGTGTATTATCGGTTTACGTGTGTCCTCAAAGCATGTAATACATTGAGTCATACAGCTGGAAGTCGTGCAGGTGTACACACACAAGATCAGAGTTAAGACAAAGTGTTTTGTTCTTCAGATGTTCCCATTCACATTTCGTTTTCATAGAAGATAAGCAGAAGTATAGCTCGTCGTTGCCGAGATTGATTAAATTGTGTTTCTAATGTAAGATGTTTCTCCACAACTCTTTTCTTCTGTAATTTTAGCCACGCGGTTTCCTGGTTTACGGGAAAGTTAATCTTGCTAATGCATGTTGCCCAGAATCTTATCAAAATGTCAGTTTTAATGAGACGAGTAGTTGGAGTAATTCGTCTAACGTGTTAGGTGGACTATTTACATATTGGTATGTATAAAACTGTAGGGAAAGCTTTTAAACCGCATAGTTCCACAATTTTTATATTTTGTACTCTTAAATATTGTGTTAAATAAAGATGAATACATAGTTTTTCTTCCAAAAATATTGATTAAAACCAATAACAATAATACTATGGCCTGTTAGATGGTGAATGCTTATTCTTAGCTATATATCCGACGTATTTTGTAACTTACAATATATATGTTCTTTGCACATTTATTACACGTGATAAGTTTTCACTTCTAACAATGAGAGAGGTAGCAGAAAATTGATAACTTTATAGGAATGTGTACAGTTGTTTATAACAGGTCATTGTAAATTTAGAAATTTCTCGTATGGATCGTTTCTACAAATGGAAGCCCCTCAATGATAGGCTGACAACCAAGCCAGTTATTCCGGCTTCAGAATGAAATCAGTTTTGGTATGTCAACAGTATTATTGCACAAGCTATTAAGGTTTATGAGGTGTTTCCAGCAACACGAAAAGGCGAATTACATGTTGTAATTTGAGACGAAAAGCTTGTGCACGTGTAATTCTATAGTTCCATTACTAGCCTGAAAAAGGTGGAATGTTAGTACAGCTTCAATTTTTTTTTTTCTGACTCAGAAGTGGTGCCGACGTACATTATTAAGCTTCCAGTGACCAGTCATCCTTACACCTGTGAAACTTTCTAAGCTTTAACTTTCATGATAATGTTTACTGTAGAAAATAAGAACTTTACAAAACACATTTACAGACGCAGACATTATTTCTGTTAACGCTTTGTTCTGATTATGTATTTACGGGACTTGAATAACCCGCTATTAAATCAAATATACCAAGATTTGTTGTTCCTTATACACAGTTTATACAGGTGAAGAACAATCTGTAATTAATTGGTAACAAGTATATATTCAATGGTTTTAACAAGTAGCAATTTTTATATTAATATATTTTCTGCCAAAACAAACCACCTCTAAGAAAGTATCCTTTACCTTCAGGTTTTGTAAAACTTGGTTAGATTAATAATTACATATTAATATGTCAGTGACACCGCTTGGAACAAATTATGATATAAATGTGTTAATAAGTTACACTTAAACTATTACTTAGGTTTTGGAGAGTTTTGTTGATTTGCATTCATTTTCTGACTCTCAGTCCTATTTGACACCATTGATTCTGATGTTGCTCACTTTTCTAGAGTTTAGCTGAAATTCACTCATGTATGTGAAACTCTCTCTGCTGCCTTGTATTCTATTTATGGGGGTTTTCAATCTTTTTATGGCAATTGAGAACTAGAAGAAGTATTGATAGCAGATTCTTTTTTTTTGTACATTATATACATACGTTAGGCTGAATGTGCATAAGCATATTTTTCGGGTATTATACACAACAATCAGTAATATTATATAAGAATAATTTCAGATGAACTAAGTACATATATATACTTTAGCTTTTTATTTAACGTTGGCGCTTTTATCCAAGATGGACTCTTCATACATTAATTAATTGATTTATTTGGAAATAACTAGTTCTTCTGAATGATACTAAATTTAATTCAAGCAAAAACAATAAATAGATAATTGATGTTAAATTTAAAATAAATAAATAATATTGTATTATTAATCCTTACCATAAAAATCTGAATAGTAGATGACTTAAAATAAATTTGATAATAATTACAACTGGCTTAAATAATCTCGTTCGTTGTTCATGAAAGTTGATGCCACAAATAGCACCTAGATTACTACTATGTGTATCATATCTCAGCTGAACTGATGAATCCTTCTATTGAGCGAATAGCCTCGTTAGCATTGGATATAGCAGACATAGTGTGGTTGACATATTGTAATTTTTCAACTTTGCTTTAATTCATTCTTATATATTTCACCTGCACCATATTTATAAACTTTTCGATATATATATGTGTGTGTGTGTGTGTACCTAACTTTTTGTAATTTCTGTTATTTCGTAAGGAAATTATTTGGTCTTTGTATTTTGTGGGTAGTTAAACGTCGTTAAAGGCCCTTAATACAAGTGGGCCCGCCATGACCAGATATTAGGGTGCTTGACTCGCAACCTGAGGGTCGCGAGTTCGAATCCAATTCCCACCAAACATGTTCACCGTTTCAACCGCGGGGACGTTATAATGTGACGGTCAATCCCACTATTCGTTGGTGAAAGAGTAACCCAAGAGTTGGTAGGTGGTGGTGACTAGCTTCCTTCCTTCTAGTCTTTCACTGCTAAATTAGGGACGGTTAGCGCAGATAGCCCTCGTGTAGCTTTTCGCGAAATTTAAAACAAACCAAACTTAATACAGATGTAGTTGGTCCCAAGCTATGATATTTTGTTTTGCAGTTTCATTTGATTTCTGTCTCTAGAAAGGTCTTCGATTTTTTATATTCATTGCCG